TCGGCTAATAAATGTGGGAAATTGTTGGCTTGGCAAATGAAAAAAGACAAAAATTAAATACAGTTACAAATTTAGAAGTGGAAGGAAGGAATATACAGAACCCAGTTGAGATTAGAAATTGTTTCCAGAGGTACTTTAAACAATTATATACACAAGGACCACAGAAAGAAATTGATTTAGATCGATTTCTGAAAACAAATGGATTACAAAAAATCTCTCAGGAAAGTAAATCAATGTTGAATTATAAAATAACAGAACAGGAGATAGAAGGTGCCATTCAGAATATGCAACTAGGTAAATCTCCAGGACCGGATGGACTGACCTCTAAATATTACAGATCCTTAAAAGAATGGTTGGTACAACCTTTGAAGGAAGTCTGTAACGAAATAATGGGTGGGAAAAGGGCACCAGAGTCGTGGAAAGAAGCGTATATTACACTTGTACCGAAAACAGAGACTGAAAAGACGCAACTTAAGAACTACCGCCCCATCTCATTGCTTAATGTGGAATATAAAATCTTTGCAGACATTTTGGCTAAAAGACTAAAAAAAGTGTTAATGGAAGAGATTCATAAAGACCAAGCAGGCTTTCTCCGGGTAGACACTTGTCGGATAATGTGAGAAACATAATCAACATCTTAGAAAAATTAGAAGTGAACATAAATACTAAGGCAGTTTTGATATTTGTGGACGCGGAGAAAGCTTTTGACAATATTTCCTGGAGCTTTATGAAGAAGAACCTACAGGGGATGGGGGTAGGCCAAGGCTTTGAAAACGGTATAAGTGCAATTTATTCAGAACAAAAGGCTAAATTAATTGTAAATAATGTGGTGACGGAAGAATTTAAGATAGAAAAAGGGACACGACAAGGTTGCCCAATCTACCCAGTGCTAATTCTATCGGTCCTGGAGGTTTTGCTGAATATGATTAGAAGGGACCAGTTGGTTAAAGGTATACAAGTCGGAGCCAAACAGTACAAATTGAGAGCATTTGCAGATGACTTAGTATTGACGTTACAGGAGCCAGAATCTAGTACCAAAAGGGTTTTAGAACTGATTCAAGAATTTGGTCAGGTTGCAGGATTTAAACTGAATAAGTTAAAAACCAAGGTTCTAGAGAAAAACTTAACACCGATTGAGAGAGAGAGGTTTCAGAATGAGACAGGTTTAACAGTGGTTAAGAAAGTGAAATACCTGGGGATTAACATGACAGCAAAAAATGGGAATTTATTTAAAGACAATTATGAAAAATGCTGGGCTGAAGTGAAGAAGATTTAGAAATTTGGTCAAATTTGAAGCTTTCACTGCTGGGCCATATTGCTGCGATAAAAATGAATGTATTGCCTAGAATGTTGTTTTTGTTTCAAACATTGCAAATTGTGGACAAAATGGACTGTTTCAAGAAGTGGCAGAGAGATATTTCTAGATTTGTCTGGCAGGGCAAGAAGCCTAGAATAAAATTTAAAATACTAACAGATGCAAAGGAAAGAGGTGGATTTGCCCTGCCAGACCTTAAACTTTATTATGAATCAGCAGCTTTTTGCTGGTTGAAAGAATGGCTGCTTCTTGAAAACACAGACATTTTGGATTTAGAAGGTTTTAACAATGTATTTGGATGGCATGCATATCTGTGGTATGATAAGGTCAAAGCACATAAAGTATTTAAAAACCATATTGTCAGGAAAGCATTGTTTAATGTTTGGATAAGATATAAGGACCTATTGGAAAACAAAACCCCAAGGTGGCTGTCACCGATGGAAGCGAAAGCTCTGAAAAAGCTCAATATGGAGGTCAAATGGCCGAAATATTGGGAAATTTTGGAACAAGATGGAGATAGACTGAAACTGCAGAGTTTTGAGAAATTAAAAAACAAAGTGCGAGACTGGCTTCATTATTATCAGATAATGGAGGCATATAATTTGGACAAGAAAATTGGCTTCCAGGTGGAAAAATCAAAATTAGAAACAGAACAGCTAGAATCCAAAACTAAGAATCTGTCAAAGATGTACAACTTGCTGTTGAAATGGAATACACAGGATGAAACGGTGAAATCACCTATGATTAAATGGGCACAAGATGTTGGACATAACATAATGATGGCTGACTGGGAACAGTTATGGACCACAGGTATGAAGTTTACGGCATGTAATGCCTTAAGAGAGAATATTATGAAAATGATATACAGGCGGTACATGACACCAGTCAAACTTGCAAAAATCTATCATTTGCCCGATAATAAATGTTGGAAATGTAAAGAAACTGAAGGTACATTCTTTCACCTTTGGTGGACGTGCCCAAGGATTAAGGCTTTCTGGGAGATGATTTATAATGAAATGAAAAGGGTATTTAAATATACCTTTCTGAAGAAACCAGAGGCCTTTCTCCTGGGCATGGTCGGCCAAATGGTGCTAAAGAAGGATAGAACTTTCTTTATGTATGCCACAACAGCAGCAAGAATACTTATTGCAAAGTATTGGAAGACACAAGGCCTACCCACTCTGGAAGAATGGCAGATGAAGGTGATGGACTACATGGAATTGGCCGAAATGACTGGCAGAATCCGAGACCAGGGAGAAGAGTCGGTGGAAGAAGACTGGAAGAAATTTAAAGACTATCTACAGAAATATTGTAAAATTAATGAATGTTAGAATGATGTTAGAATGAAGTTAAGTGGTTTAAGCAGCAATGCTATAAAGGCGTATGTAAAAATGGACTGTTAACAGGTGAAGATCCAAAGTTATAATATATTAAGTTAAAGGACTAAGAGAAAATAAAGAGGGAAAGAAATTGCTGAATTAACTAACTGAATTGGAATACAAAAAAGGGAGGTATGAGGAGGTCAGGGAAGTAAGGAAATGAATGTAAGGCATGGAAAGACTGATGTATTTTTAAGTGTTTTTTATTCTTTCTTTTTCTGTATTTTGTATTTTGTATTTTTCTTGTATTTTTACTTTTGTCTTTTGTTTTTGTTTGTTTGTTTTTTCTTCTTTTCTTTACTTATGTAATTCTTCTTTTTGAAATCTTAATA